TGAATCTAAATAATATATTAAAACATAGCATACAATGTTCAAATTATACAAGCATGAGTTCAACTACTGTACAACTTGCAGAAAGCACACTTAAAATATGTTAAGATAATACTTACACAGTATTAAAATCATGTTTGTTTGACACATTATTTGGCTTACCAGGTAAATTCCTATCTATGATTAAAGTAACTTATCTCTTGCATGCACTCTCATATGCACAACCAAACTGCTTCTTTGAGAGAAACGCACTTCACAGATACTGCAATTATAAGGCTTTTCTCCAGTGTGTATCCTAACATGAGTTATTAAATTTCCCTTATTGGTAAAGTTTTCACCACAGTACATACAGCTGAAAGGTTTCTCACCAGTGTGTGTTCTCATGTGAGTTATTAAGGAACTTCTTTGAGCAAAGTTCCTTTCACATATCTGACAAACAAAAGGCTTCTCACCTGTATGAACCCTCATGTGTGTTACTACACCACCTCTAAATGCAAATTTTGCATCACATATTGTACAACTAAAAGGTTTCTCTCCTGTATGCATTTTTTTATGGCTCACAAGAGCACTTTTCTGAGCAAACTTGCGGCCACACATTTCACAATCATAAGGCCTTTCTCCTGTATGCCGTCTCATGTGTATCACGACATTTTCTTTCCGACCAAATTTCTCATTGCATATGTCACATGTATATGGTTTTTCTCTAGTATGTACCTTGAGGTGCCTTAAAAGATGCCCATTACTAGAAAACGCTTTAGCACACACCTCACATCTGAAAGGTTTCTCACCAGAATGTATTCTCATGTGAATGACCAATGCATTTTTACTACAGAATGTCTTTCTACATTCTTTACAAAAGTGAGTCTTTTCTGCTATGCTCAATAAAGGAGAGCAGTTAAGGGAAAACTCTTCAGTCACACTCCGGCTATCGTCCTGGGGATTCCAGTCTCCGTGCAAAACTTCATTTTCCTCAAAATCAAATGAATTTTCCTCCTTTATGTCTATATCATCCTCCTGCTTAATATACACTGCATTCTCTTCATCTATGCAAGTACTATTTTTTTCTCTGGAATTCATATCAATAAGCAAGTATCTGCTATTGTTGCTCTCCAAGTGCTCTTGCATGATAACTCTTTGTTCTTGTTCTGTAAAAATAATTCTTTTCTTTGCTATAAAAAATAAGGTAAACATATATAGTGTATTTTATTTTTTTCCCAATATATATCATATATGTATCACACCTGAGTGCCTAAGCAACATATATGAATATAAATTTAAATAACAATTGCTGTTATAAATTCAAAGCATTTGCTGAAACACACAATATGAAAATTCAGTTCATGACTTTTGTTATCATTACTTTAGGAGAATGTAAATATGTGATGATTTAAAGTTTACTTACCTGATTAATGATGGTACATTAAAATATATTTTGGTTTTAAAGATACTTTAAAGTTGTGTCCTCTAACAGCCTTGGCATGGAAAGCAGGTCTATCAACCATTCTGTAAAAAGAAGGGAAAAGTTAATTTTTGAGCTAACTGGCTTGTATAAGTATAAAAATGATATTACTGATAATTTACTGGTACAAGAAAATTGTTGTTATGACTATGATCTGTATGGCACAAAACAATTTAAGCAAATAACTTAACTTTTCCGAATCATTGTCGAAAATAAGTAGCTAACACAACATCATGTTTTTGGCACATATTTATGGTATAAAAAAAAAACTGCCTAATTAAATGTGAATTCTAACAGTGAATCTAGTGTATAAATACAAAGCACGACACAAGCCAGGTATGGTACATTGTGAATATATCTTTATTGGTATAAATAAGCTCTAATGCAAGAAATGTAATTTATTATCATGCAATGATAATTAATTTATCAGTACTCAACATTATTCCTATAAATAAAGAAATTGTATGATATACAAGGAAAAGAATAACGAGAAATTACCCTCTGTCTTATCACAAGGAGATAAAAATCAGATAAAGATTGCAACTCAAAGTCTTAATTGGAAAGAACTCATTATTCTGAGAAAAAATCTAAAACATCCACACTATCAGAGGAAAGCAAAGCTACTAGGAAAATGTGAGCAAAATTGATTTCTGTTACGAGAAGAAATGCTATCTTCTGGAGAACTCTGATTCGCCTTCTCTTTTAATAGGCTATTCTAATCTGCTGACACTCAATATTCTTGTTCACAGATGTTTGAAAAGACAATACAATATCTGTTATGCTTTAAACCAGTTTATTATTATTTTTTCTTCTTTAATCTAAAGAGAAATAGTGAATTAGAGTCTGTAGGGTAAGTAGCTATTTTTTCCTTATATGATTCAACAGAGTGGATTTGGTAGGATAAGCTTTCCCCTTCAAGTAATCAAAATCAATGGTAGATTAGAGTGAGTGCTCTGGATCCTGCCATCCTGTACCACATACAATACTAGTAAAATGTACATTTTGGTCATGTATGTAGTGCAAAGAGACAGAATATGGATTTAATAATGGAACTAATTCCTTATTTCATATCAAATTACTCAGGAGTTCTACAAACCATGTACATACTGGTCATGACTGAACTATTAATAAATTTTCTATTTACCACCAAAATACAAATTCATTTTCATAATTAGATAGTTAATACATTCAACAATTTGTCTTTTCCAATGATACTATAGTCTCCAAACTTTGCATTCTGGCAGAGGCAAACAATTCTTACCATATGTTTTTGCAGATGAAGAATTTATTGACCTCACTAGTAGGTCACCAATAGATATGAAAGCAATCCTTACCCTGCCAATCATATCTGGAAAGAATGAACACTTTAATGACTAGTTTCACTTTACATGGGCCTCTTCTGAACACTTATCAAAATTTCATATGAATCTGAATCTCACTGCTTATGAGAAGATGAAGAAGTAGGGGATTAATAATAAGAGGAAGATAATAAAAAGTGAAATTTTGAAGCTATTGTCTGTCTTATAATCTTGTGATGCCTTGTTTGGGACAGCTGTGGGTAAATCTTGCTGTTTTGCAAAAGAAAACTAGGACAATTTACAGTTTTACCTAACCATGGACTTTCTGATGTTCCTTATGTCTTTTTGGTGATATATTAAGTGCTTTGTTTTTATACCTTCTTCCCATCGCCAATATCTCGTCTTTGAGTTATGCCTACCCTCTCACCCCAAACAATCTTGGGGGAATTGTAGGATTTTTTTTTTTCTTTTTTTTTGGGTGGGGCAGCATGAGATTGAGTAACATATGCTTCAGATGAGATTACGTTAGATTAGGCTAGGTCTGGCTAGGCTAGGCTAAAATAGACCTGTGGGAAATTAGTGTTTCTGGGTGGGGGGAGTATGAAATTGAGTAACATTTTTTTCAAATGAGGTTGGGATAGGTTAGAATAGGTCTGGCTAGGCTTGAAAAAAACAGTAGGAAATTGGGGTTTTTGGGTGAAGGAGCATGAAATTGAGTAATACATTCTTCAAATGAGGTTACGTTAGATTAGATTAGGCTAGGCTAAACAGGTATGGTGGGCATACAAGAATAATTATAGAAAATTGTAGCTTCCAAAATAGTGTCTCCCCTTATGCCATAACGCCTATGCTGCATCTGCCCTTTGGCTGTTAGATACAAGTGCCACCAAAAGAAAAAGCATGGTCCCGTCCGCCCTTGACCTGGGCAGACCAAGGAGAACAAGCCTTGTTGCCATGCCATGAACTCCAAAAGCCAGCTCTGTGCCCACCTTGCTATTGCTCAGCGCATTTTCTTCTGCTTTGCATTGGGCTATTTACTCATTTTATGCATTTTTACTACTGTGCCTTGAACTCTTTTACCAATAAGAGTCAGGCTGTACCACTCTATTGTGGGTATTCCCCAGTCCAGAGGGGATTCAACAAAGTATTTTCTGGTCTGCCTTTCTGGTGATATATGAAGTGTGTTGATTGACTTTATACCCAATTTCCTGCAGGTTTCCCAAGATTGTTTAGGAGGAGGGGGTAGGCTTAACTAGAAAACTAGATATTTACCATATAAAAGAGGTATAATATTAGGCAAGGCACTACATACATCACTAGAAAAATCATGCTGCACATCAGAAAATAGTTTATGTTATGTTATACTGTCAATAAAACGAAAACTGTCTCACAACTAATTAGTCTTATAGCATCATACACTGTTTATCTTACAATATATATGCATGATCCTTAATCATACCATTTTATCTTTATAGTTGACAGTTGACAAACCATTGAGGATAAATAAGGAAAGGTCTGGAGCCTGCCTCTCACACTCTCTCTCTCTCTCTCTCTCTCTCTCTCTCTCTCTCTCTCTCTCTCTCTCTCTCTCTCTCTCTCTCTCTCTCTCTCTCTCTCTCTCTCTCTCTCTCTCTCTCTACCAGTGTAGTAGACAATAACTGTCAGTAATAATATATTTCTCCAACAAACCGCCAATTGCTACAACAAAACTGAAGCACCAAATGCCTTTAGTATTGCAAATCTAGTGATTATTCTCTCAGATCTTTTATATAAAGAATATCATATGTAGCCATCATACGAAGAATATATACCAAAAATCACATGTAACTACATTTTCTTGTTTTCAAATAACAAAGTTTATGTACCAACCGCCAAGTTCGAGTCTATTGCATTTTCTGGTGTTGACTGGCGTGCTTGCGGAATTTGTTGGTGTGGGCGGTTATGAATGTGAGGTTTGTTTTAAGAACACACACACACACACACACACACACACACACACACACACACACACACACACACACACACACACACACACACACACACACACACACACACACACATTCCTCTCTCTCTCTCTCTCTCTCTCTCTCTCTCTCTCTCTCTCTCTCTCTCTCTCTCTCTCTCTCTCTCTCTCTCTCTCTCTCTCTTTCTCTCTCTCTCTCTCTCTCTCTCTCTCTCTCTCTCTCTCTCTCTCTCTCTCCTCTCTCTCCTCTCTCTCCTCTCTCTCCTCTCTCTCTCTCCTCTCTCTCTCTCTCTCTCTCATTGAGGAAAGGGACTCTTTATTTCCAAAGAATAGTTGTGACGTCATGATAGTGCGGATACAACAGATTCACACTACTACCGTAATTTTGTTCTCAATTGGCTACCGCCCGGTAAAGAGAGCTGCAGTAGCCCTGCGATTGTAAGTTGCTAGTAGTATATGATTATGAAAAGATAAGATAAGAGAGAACAGAAATCAAAGAATGTTTTATTTTTTCCCTTTCTTTTCTGCATTTATTTATTTATTTATTAAATCAGGTGTTGCTTAACATGAAAAAATTATGTCTTTATTCAGTGCTATGTGATTTTTTGCGGTGGATGTATTGAAATAAAATGCACACTTCGAAGAACACTTAATATAGGGTAGGCTACTTGAAGAAAACGGACGTACTTCCAACCACCGTATATTTTATGATTTCAAACATCATAATTATGTTTACATATCTGATAGCAGATTAAGAGTAAATCCTGCATTACAAAAAATGTATACTGGCAGGTATGGGGAAAGAATATAAGCATATATATTTTTTCCAAGTTCGCTATTCTGCAATTAAGATATTCAGTTACTTAAGGACTTCAGATAAAATCATTCTTCAGCGTTAATAAGTATGGATCATCATGTTACATCATCTCTAGTTATTATTATTATTTTTTTTAAACTCAGTATTTAACACTCATGGCAAATTGAAGATTTCATTTATTCGCATCAATCTGCGTGTTTGTGGCCGCGTGTACACACATAACCACACACACACACACACACACACACACACACACACACACACACACACACACACACACACACACACACACACACACACACACTCACACACACGCATACACACGCATACACACACACACACACGCGCACACGCACACATACACGCGCGCGCACACACGCATACATACACCAATAAAAAATATAAACATGTATCTCTCCTCCCTTTCCCCACCCTTCTCTTTCTCAGTCTCTTTATATATATATATATATATATATATATATATATATATATGAGAGTGTGTGTGTGTGTGTGTGTGTGTGTGTGTGTGTGTGTGTGTGTGTGTGTGTGTGTGTGTGTGTGTGTACACCCCCACCCCACACACATATATTCATATACACACACACACATACATATATAAATATATATATGTGTGTGTGTATACATACGCAACTATTTGGATTTTGCCTTTATCCTACTGACAAATAATAAAAATCCTATTAAAAAAAATCCCATATATCTTTTACAAGTAGCCTAAATGAGAGAAGGTTTTATTAACTTCTGTGATAAGTTTATCTTTGTATTTCCAGACAACGGGATCAAAAACGGTGAACCGTTTGAATGTTTCATAACAGTTTATAACAAAATCATGGCAATTCCTGCGGTAGTGGTTCAACTGCGCGTCATGGGTTGGGATACTGTAAGCGTAAGGAAACGTTTCACCTAGAGCAAGTAAAGGATAATGGTTGTGCAAGTGTAGGCCACCCGCTGTGCTATGGAAACACTTGACGCTGTCTTGTATCCTACTATAATTAGCAGAGCGTACAATATGCTGTAACATGTGCAGGTGAGAGGGTATATCTTTAAGCCATTCTTGGGAGGGAAGCATTTGATCCATATAATACGTATGTCTGGCGCAGTAGGACACGTAGGGTAGGTTATCTTTGGCACTCTTTTTCTTTAATGTTTGCATCAAGTGTTGCCAGGTGGGTGCGAAACGAGGAACGATAACTTCATCGGTGTCAAGATGGACTGTATATTTATATCGGTATAAATTCCTGTAGTAGCAGTCGTTGAGCTGTATAACTTCGTGCTGGAACCTATCTCTAGAAAAAACGTATTTGAAGAAAAGACCTGGAATGTTCGGTTGCGAGGCGGGTAAAGTCGTCGGGATAACTTCGACGAAGCCTTTGTCTACGTAGTAGTTCATCATTTTCTCCATTTTAGCATTCATGCCGAGGCTGTAATAAAATACTTTGTGAGCTCCCAGCGCGGAAAGAAGCTCGAGCCACTCGACGAGGCGCTTCGTGTTGTCTTCGAAATAAAAGTCGAATCCTTTGACACAAACGGCAAAGTCTCCTTGCTGTGTCTCTTTTTCAGGAGGGTTGTAAATGACACGCAGGCTGTTAGAAGCGAAATCACATGTGGACTGGACGAGGGTGACAGCTTGTGGAATGAGGTGGCGATGAGACTTAGGAACACTGCATGTAATAAGGTAAGGCTCCAAGTCACGTACATTATGGAAATCCCATCGTTTGTCCCAAATGTAGTTGTATGAGGTATCGCTGAAGACCGGCGTTTCTTGTTCATCGAACCAGAATTGACATACGGTTTGTGGTAAACCTTTCTCGGTGTTCATTATAGCTAATAGGCGAACCACAGGCCTTTGAGGCTCGAGAGTACGGTTGTCATAATAAGCACCATAGAGGTAAATCATGCCTGTTGCCGTTGAAAGCCTCTGCCAGTATATGTTGTTGAACTGAATGTC